CTGTGGGGGGAGGTGGTACCTGCAGGTGAGCACAGGGTAGCCTGGGCCACGTTACACCACCTGCCCCCCCCCAAACAGGAGCTTCCCCAGGTGAGTACCCCAAGCCCGAGGCCCTTCCTGCACCCTAACAGCTACCCAGACCCTGTAGTCCCACTCTAATGTCCTTTATTAAGTTCTTTTCCACACTCCAGACACCTTGGTCTCAGCGTGGAGCTCCATATTGTACCTCATATACCTCACCCCTACCCCAGAGTCTGCACCCCTTAGACAGAGCCTTAATCCCCTCCCAACCTGAACCCTCTCCCACACGCCAAACCCCTCAGCTCCACCCCTACCACAGATCATCTATGTGCAGAATGCATTTTGATTTGGGCACCAATATGAAGGTGACATGTCACACATCATCTCCATATTGATTCTCATAACAAAATTCATTTTGCACATAGAAATAAAAAACTAGAGGGAATACTGGGTGACAGGTACAGTGGAATGAATTAGTCCATTTACAAATGTACTAAAGAAAAATTATATAGTACCAAACTATCTAATGTTACTGAGACACTTTCCATACACAGCATGGCGCAGGATCATACTTAGGTTTACTGATTTGTATGTACAATGTTGTTTTTCAAATGGAAAACGTTACAGCAAATCAAATGCGGTCAGCCAAATTAATTTGGCTATGTAATTTCATGCATAAATATGCAATTTTGTTTTGGGAAATGAATTTAGTTGATTGTGAGCTACTGAGTGATAATATTGACTGGGATTAGCATTGTGCAGACCCATTCTGCCTGTACACTTCAGCATTTCCAAATCTCCTAAATTGTTGATGGCAAGCATGTGTTATCTGTGGCTGCATGTGGTCAGTGTTGTTTTTCATTTGTACTTGCAATACATATCTAGAAGTTAAATGCCGTTTATATAATTGTGTAGCGACTTAAATAGTTATGTTCCAACAGCTGTCTTAAGGTACATCCATATATCATGTAAAAATCAAACCATCTTGTTGCAGTTCATCAAAGATTATTTTTCAACTTTTCAAGTACAAGAAACAGCTTGTATGTTCATAACCACCTGGTCATCAAAATCCAGATAATTAAACTCATGAAACTGGAATAGAGATAAGCAGGGCTTGACAAATGGTGGCGAAACCTACTCACCAGCCCCACATTGTGTATGCGCGCGCCGCTGGTGAACGGGGCAACCGGCTGAAATCTACTCGCCACGGGCAAGTAGATTCAGTGATTTGTAAAGCCTGGGAGATAAGGATACACTGTAAGCCCCAGTTGTGCCTTCAGCAATGCTGCATTTGAGGACAGATTTGGGTCAAGTGCTTTTGGGTTTCCAGCATCATTTTCCTCTGTGAGCATATTCACATGGATCAGTTAATTGAACAGAAACCCGGCTAATCCCAACCCTACTTGCCTTCCTCAAAAGCATGTGATTTAGCCCAGATCTTGAAGTCTACCTTTCTGTTGTTCAGCTCTTATTAAAGTTCTGTTGTCATGTAATTACATTTGGACCTACAATCATAAAGGGGTATAAGAAAACAGGAAATGAAGTACATACAAATCAAAGATGTATGCTAGTATGTTGTGTACTTTGTAAATTTCAGGCTGGAGATACTGCACTTCATGTTGCTGCTGCATTAAATCATAAAAAGGTGGTCAAACTCTTACTGGAAGCAGGAGCTGATGGGACAATTGTCAACAATGTAAGTACATGTGGAATTACTTCAGTTCTTTACCTTAATTTTTTTTAAACCATTTTGCTGGCTGAAAATACGTAGACGTTAGCTATTAAGTAAATTAAAAAGCTTGATTTTTTTTTTTTACACAACTTTTCGACTTTAGGGTATTTCAGCCATTTCTTTTTTGATGCTAGTTGAAGGAAATAATTTATTCTTTTTCTTTTCAGGCAGGTCAGACTCCTCTAGAGGTTGCTAGACAGCACAATAATCCTGAGGTTGCTCTTCTCCTTGCTAAGGCACCACAGGTACATTACAAATGTCTTTATTAGTATCAAATCCCGCAGCATCCCATAGTCTGGGAGAGGTCCTGGAACTCTGATACAGCTGCAGTTGGATTTTGGGCAATCTCCTTACATACCCACATGTGCATAGATATGCAGTATAGGGGTATTCGATAGCAATTAACTGAACAGTTGTATAACCACACAAAATATTATTGATTACATGACTATTTGATAGCCACCGGGGGTGGGGCCAGCAGCCAGTGCACTCCTGGCCCCACTCCCAAGGAGTGCCCTGCTACCCCATGCAGCAGCCTCTATAGCATAGGGGGTAGATGGGAGCCGGTCTGCGAGGGGAGCTGCTTTTAAAACCAGTGCAGGGTGGCAGCAGCCCCTGTTCATAGAGGTCCTGAGCAACCTGCAGACAGAGGCTGTGCCGGCATCCCATGTATCAGTCTCTGTCCGTGGGAGGGGTCGAGCTCTTTGCAGACAGAGGCTGCTCCGCTCCAGCCTCTCCGTCCGCTGCTGCTTCTGATATAGAGGCAGCAGCATAGTGGGGGGGCGGGAGGAAGCAGCTCATGTGAGCCGATACGCGGGGGAGCTATCTTGAAAGCCAGCTTCCTGCGTATACTGGTTCCCACCTGCCCCCATACCTTCCACACTGCTGCCTAGCAGAGGCAGCAGTGCTAAGATGGGGGAAGGACAGGCAGCTCCACAAATCTGGTGCTTGTGGGGAGCCAACTCCTGCTCTCCCTCCATTGCTGCCTCTGATACAGAGTTGATAAGATTAACCGATAAGCGCAGGCTTATTGGTTAATTGTGTACTCAGCTACACGTTGACATCCCTAATACAGGGCAAACTAGAAGACTGTCCTTCCAAAAAAGGTCTGTGGGATAGTAAATAAATAAGCCTGTATTGTCGCCCAATTCCTGTAACACATCAGTGGAAAAAGTGATGATGTTAATGTTACCTTGTTTCAGGTTTTGCGTTTTAACCGTGGAAGAAGCCTTAGAAAGAAGAGAGAGAAACTCAAAGAGGAAAGGCGAGCTCAGTCTGTGCCAAGAGACGAGGTGGTACAGAGTAAGGTATAGACAATTATTACCAACTTAATGCGTTACAAAGCAGGGAAGTCTGACCTAGCTATTACAAAAAAATCTTCCAGCACTAAATTCACTTGCATCTACATAAGAAATCTCACCTTTTGAGTAGTTCTGCAGCAGGCACCAGGAGATAAACAAGTCGCTTATTTCAACCAATCCTATAGGAGTTACTAGTTTTATACTTTTCAGGGATGCTCAGAGTGGGGTATTTTATCAATCCTAACACAGCATATCTTGCATTGTGTTGGAGACCCGATGGTGGTGATTCTCATAAGTGCATGACAACTTAAAATTAGGGATGGAGCAAAAACAAACACTCACAACTTCCTATCTGTTGTAAACAGGGCAGTGTCTCAGCTGCTGAGGATACTCACAGCAGTGACCAGGTGCCTCAGAGGAAAGGAGAGCTGAAAGATGATCCCCACTCAGCTTCACCAGAGCCCAAAGGAAAGAACAACAAAAAGAGAAAGCCAAGAGAAAAGGTACCAATACATTTAAAATAACAGAGAGAGGGACTCCTGTTGAATTATGCAGCGGTCCCATTTCCTAGTGAAGGGTTACGTACACCATCTCCCCAGCCCTCCCGGTGTCTCTTGGTCTAAGTAGGAGAGAGGAGAGTCAGCTAGTTTCTAAAATTCCAAGCAGCATTTATTTATTTAGTAAATTGGGGAATGATGTGTGCAAAATTTGCAAACAATACCGAACTCCTCAAGATAGTTAAGACCAAAGCAGACTGTATAGAGCTTCAAAAGGATCTCACAAAACAGTAAATGAATTATGTTGATAAGTGCAAAGTAGTGCATATTGGAAAACATAATCCTAACTATACATACAAAAGGATGGGGACTAAATTAACTATTACCACTCAAGAGAAAGATTGTGGAGTCATCATGGATAATTCTCTGAAAACATCCACGCAGCACTCAAAAAAGGAAACAATGTTAGAAATAAATTTAGAAATGGATAGAGAATAGAACAGAGCATATCTTATTGCCTCTGTTATAAATCCATGGTATGCCCACATATTGAATACTGCATACAGATGTCACCTCATCTCAAAAAAGGTGTGTTAGCACTGAAAAAAGTTCAGAAGAGGGCAGAAAAAATTATTAGGGTTTTGGAATGGTTGCCATAGGAAGAGAGATTAAAAAGACAGGGACTTTTCATCTTAGAAAAGAGAAGACTAAGGGGCGATATCATAGAGGTTTATAAAATCATGACTGGTGTGGAGAAAGTGAATAAGGAAAAATTATATTATTCCCATAACATAAAAACAAGGGGTCAATAAATGAAAATTGTAAGTAGCAGGTTAATAGTAGGTTAAAACAAACAAAAGGAAGTACTTCTTCATACAATGCAAAGTTAACCTATGGAATTCCTTGCCAGAGGATGTTGTGAAGGCCAGGATACTGGGCTAGATGGACCTTTGATCTGACTCAGTATGGCTGTTTTTATGTTCAGATTTCAGCACTCTCGGACCCTGCTTCACCAGCTGACCAGCAAACAGTCTCTGGTCCCCAGCAAAGCTTGCCTAAGCATCGTAGAAGTAAACATCGTTGCTCATCTCCACCACCCCCACATGAGTTCAGAGCCTACCAGCTTTACACATTGTATCGTGGAAAGGATGGAAAAGTAATGCAGGTAAACAAACTGTCACTGTCAAAAATCAGGGAGTACAACAAATGCCTAGTGGGATTTGAGCAGTTAGGAAATGAAACAAAGATGACCCTTCCCTGTTTTCAAGGATATTATGTAATTAATTCTTCAGTTTGTGATATGGGATTAATTTGAATTTTAGAATGAAACATGGCACACAATAAGTTGGTTTTATGCATACCAAGTGGTCTCTGTTTAAGAGCTTTTGATTCATGAAGTATTTCCTATTTGCAGATAAGGTGCAAACAATGATTAAAAATTATGCTAGCATTCTGTTAGTTTCCGCTTTGGAATATTATTACCTATTTGCAGTAAGAAAAGCTAGGAGTTGTATGAATGCAAAGGCACAATCCCTGCACTGAAGAGTTTACAGTCTAAACAGAAAAGCTGAATATGTGTAGTATCCTTTTGTTTCTTGTCTTTACTAAATTGGGTTTATTGGTGTTCTAGAATTACTAGAGGCATAGGTTTAACATACTATTGATAATCTTTGACCTGTGAGATTAGCTAAAATTCAAGGTCCAAGAAGAAACTGATGAGTCAGGTATTTCTTTGATGCAGTCCTGCTTACTTACAAATAAGGAACAAGTCCTTTCTCCCTGATCAGAGGAAGCATTAAACAGGCTTGCTGCTCTCTCTCTTCCTGTGGTGTTTCTCCCACTTTTTTTCTCCCTGATCAGAGGAAGCATTAAACAGGCTTGCTGTTTGCTTCTCTCTCTCTTTCTGTGGTGTTTCTCCCACTTTTCTTGTCATACACAAGTCTATTAAAACAATATGCAACAAAGCCCCTGGACCATCCAGTTCTAACTCCTGAACAGCCTACTACGTGCTTCTGTTTTAGATAGAAGCTATTGTTTCAGATACTCGGTTCCATAAAGGAGATTTCATTGCTCCCTGCAACTATCTTAAATGAAATGGTGGTGGTGATGCCTCCCATACGAAATAGAGTAGGCAAGTTAGTGAACCAGGAACAGCAAATCACATAAATAGAGCCCTGCAATCCACAGATATACACAGCAAATCACATAAATAGAGCCCTGCAAATCCACAGATATACACATGATACGCATTGTATCTGTGGAAATCCACATCCTCAGACATTGATATCTGCAGATCTTTTTTGAGGATATGGATGCAAATCCACATTTATTATTTAGAACCCTGCAAATCTGAGGCTATTCATGGATCAATTTTGCAAATGTGGATGCCAATTTTGTATACTCGCACATAATTCACTTCACTTTAGACATTGTAATTTGCTAACCTCATGATATGCAATGGATATTCCACCCATTTGTTTGAATTAATATAGTTCTCCTAAATGTGAATCTGCAGATATTCACCTAAAGTCTTTTTTAGAACAGCGCAAAAACATGCAATACCATTATCAAATGGCTCCCCTATTGAGATGAAGAACCTTTTGAATGTAAAGGAAGAGACTATGACCTGATGAGTGTATTGCATCTAACCACTACCAGTTCCCTGCCAGATCCGGCCCCCCCACGCTGCTGCGTTTCACAGAGGCTTTTAAGGTGGCTCCCGCCTGATACACAGGCAACAGCACTGGGGGAAACGGCTTGGTGGGGGAGTAGGAAGGAGGTGGCTCCCCATGTTCACTGGCTCACTTCCCTCCTTCCCCCCCACCTCAATACAGCGGCTAGGGACTGTGTGTGTGTATAAGTGTTAGGGTTAACTGTGTACTCAGATACATGTTCACGTGCACATCTGCATACTGTACCAAGACACATTCAAGAAAGCAGTGCCTCCCATCTCTGAAATATCAGAACATAAACTTTTATCCTCCCTGGCTGTGCTTGAGAAATCAGATATATCAGAAGGTAGGAATGGAATTTAACAGAAACTGAAACTCAAAGGTGAAAGTAGATTAAGTTTCTTGTAGGTATGGTTGTTGCATCCCCCCAGCTGGGGGCTTAGGGCAAGGGAATGGGAGGACTTCGATCCTCTAAGAAACTTAAGTGTGGGGGGCTCAGGACAGGAGATGGAGCAGAAAGGAGAAAAGGAGCTTGTGGGTGAGGAGCTCAGGACAGGGAGCTGATGGTGTGGGGGGTACAGGATTCAGGGTTGGGGATGTGTGAGGAGGGGGTCAGGGCAGGGGACTGCAAGTGTGGGGAGCTCGGAGCAGGAAAATGTGAGGGGTGTGGAGGTGACAGCAGGGGCCTTGGGTGTGTGTAAGGGTGAGTATAAGGAGGGCTGCAGCTGCACATACCATGTCACTACTGCTTTTCTTCCCCTGCCTATCAGGGAGTGAGGGGAAGTGCATAGCCTGCAGGCATCCCTGCTATGTCCTTCCCCTCAGAAGCTGGGAGGGAGAGGATCCTTGTTGTCCATCTGGAGTCTCAGGGAAATTAACAGTGCTCCATACAGATCACATTGGAGAACCACAGCCTAAAATCACTCCCAAACAAAATATTCTTCATATGTCTGTTTCCTTCCTCATGCACGCCATGAGAGGTTATCAGCACAGTAATGCAGTACCAAAGCAAATTAGCTAGGGGACAGGAAGTTCAATTAGAGAAGTAGTAGTGAAAATTTGCAGACTGGATACATGTTAATAAGACAGAAGGGTAAATCAAGCTATTTTGCTATTCCTTATGCTCTCAGGCCCCAATAAACGGATGTCGTTGTGAGCCACTGATTAATAAACTGGAGAATCAGCTAGAGGCAACGGTGGAGGAGATAAAAGCTGAGTTTGGGACAGTGCAGGATAAGATGAATATCAAGCTGGGCCAGATGGAAAACAAAACTCAACATCAAGTAAGAAAATGCTCCAGAGATATGCTGTTAATATTAGTGCCATGATTAAGGCTCAGTAAATATTTTCATAATTACACACACACACTATGAAAATGAACTTTACATAGATTGTGAAAATACATATACAGTGAAATTCACACCTATTACCTTTAAACTATGATGTTCCACAAAGAGCTCTGTTACAAGCCAGAGTCCTCAGAAGAATAGCTGCAATAAACTGCTCAGTTTGCACAGTGAATCTGAACTGGTTACGTTCATTTTTTAGGTCTGATAGACTAAGGACTACAGATGTTAAATTTAGTTTAATCAACTAATCTATGGATTTTCCGTCGATTAGTTGATAAGCAAGGGAGCTGCAATGGGATTAGTTCCCCGCCCAAGAGCTAACCCCACTGCGGCTTTACCTTTTACTGTATTAAGTCCCTGTCTTCCCTGCGGAGACAGTGCTGGGGATAACTGGCTTTTCAGCTGGCTCCCCCCACCACTGGCTCCCGCTCCCCCTTTGCTGCCTCTGATAGATAGGGGAAGCGACTAGTTGAGGGATAGTCAACTATCCAATAAGCTTTTGCTTATCAGATAGTCGACTAATTGCTTACATCCCTACTAAGGATAGTGCTGCAGCTGTTGGACTCCAATAAAGAAAATGTTTAAATGATCATGCTTGAAATTATATTTAAATTTTAGTTAAAACATAGTTTTTAATTATACAGATTTGTATGTACTGCTTTCCCATCCCCTTTCATATAACCAAGGTTTAATACTATTTGACACTGTTCCTAGAAATAAAGGGTGAGACTCAAAAGATTCATGATAATTGATCAGACATACAGGGATTGTTTTTAACGTAATTTGAACTGAGCTTCTGTGTTTTACCGCAGCTCCGTGTTTTAGATAAGTTAATGGCTGAGAGACTGTCTGCAGAGAGAACAGAGTGCCTTCATCGTCTTCAACAGCATGCTGAGCTTGAAAAAAATGAGGGAGAAAAACGGCAGGTATGGGAGGAACAACTGAACATGAATGAGTAGCAGGGCTGGGTTAATTCAAAAGTCTGGTTCTAGTAAACATTGAAATGTCTGCATGCTTATTTGGCTCTCTGAAATATTTGAAGTTAACTTAGTTTTTTTAGTGAGGGTGGAAAGGGGTATTTCCAGAAATCGAAAAGTCTGGTGTGAGCTCACACAGCTTATAGCTAGGAGTATGGAAACATTAACAAAGACTTCTTTTCCTTTAAATAATCTCTGGAAGTTTTAACAAAACACAGCATTTTGAACAATTTAACTAACTGACATCCCTTTCAACTTTTACTCTCTTGATCCTGGTGTTGACATTTTATTAGTTCTCCTGTCACCAGTATGTCTTTTAGATAGACCACACCTGATTATTTTATATATAAATAAAAAAAGGAAGTTTAAGCCTTCTTTCTACAACCTCAAAAAAAATCTTTTTTCTTCTTAGGTGATCATCTTTTCACTGTATGAAGA